GAGATTCTTGTTTGTGATTTTCATTTTTCTACACACTTGACATTACTTTGCAAAGTTGGTTTCTTTTTGTTTGTCATTTCTCTGTGTAGTGTCTAAATTCCTGTGTACATATTTCATCATACTTGTTATATACCTATGTATTATGTTTCCGACTTATGACCACCCAGCCTTGATCGCAGCAGCTCTGTTAAACATGGGCTGGTGTCTTTGGCTTAGAATATTTTTCTAAATGATTGTAATATTTATTAGCTTCTTTGGGTACGGAATATGTCAAAACCATGAACTCTGATTTTGTTTCAGCTGCGGAACAATTATTACTTTCAGACATGGGAATCGGACACGTATAGAAGTGTTACTATGTGATAAATGTTCGTGGTTGGTTTACAATTTTTTTTTTTGATTTTTTTTTTTTTGTTTGTTTGTTTTTTTTTTTTTTTTTTTTTTTTTTTTTTGTTTGTTTAAAACCTGCATTTACATTTAACAACACTTATTTGAAACAAGGATGAAAAGAATTTTTCAAAAATAATTAAAAGTCTGCATTCACTGATAGATGGCATTAACCTTGGTGGAATATCACCTCTGTTAGCAAGCGCAGAAGTTCATGTACCCCTGGCAGCATGTCATGTTTCCGCTGTTTATTGTATATATCATAGTTTATCATATTTAATTTAGCCCCATCATTTGTTGTGTTTTCTATCCTGGTCCATTGAATTCCTGTACATTCAGTGCTTATAAAATACTTTGTCTGTCTTATACGAAGTTTAAATACATGCAGCTTTAAAACAGCTGGTTGTTTCATGTTGCGTGGTTTCCAGTTCATTGATGACCATTGTTGCAAAGATTCGTAGAGCAAGACTGCTGTGGATTTGTTGTTATTGTTGGTTTCAATATGTCATTTTAATATGTAATGCTCAAAATATACTCTGTTCATTGTGTGTTATTGGTAGAATTCTCTACTGATAAATAAGCTCATAGTTTAATGTTTATGTTAGCTTATCTTATTTTCAAGTCAACCTTGTTGAGTTGGTGTAAACTACATAGGTTAGTGACTAGAAGTTTTACTTAAAATAGAATTTGAGCATGAAATAACAGGAGTTATGGATAAGTTCAGTCATTGAAGGTTATTAAATTACTAAAATTAGTTAGAAACTCAGTAAGTAGTCTTCTTCTTCGCATTCACCAGCTGCAAACTCTGGCGGAAGGTTCTGGTTGCTCGTCCACTACTAAACTGCAGTCCTGCTCCAGAACCTGAGTGTTGCTTGTGCATCAGTTTTACAGATCTCATTCTCCTGAATACAGACTGTTGGTTCCTTGCCTCTCCGGCAGATGCACTCTGACTTCAAAGGAAGCTCCCTAATTAGTCGAGTCTTACGACATGCTTTTGGGGAGGCAGTGGGTCTATTCTTGTTTTCCCCACAATGGGGCCCCGGAACCCACACGGGGGTCAGTAAGTAGTGTCAGCAGTTAAAAAGTAATACCAATAACGGAAAGAAAGTATGAAATAGCTCAAGTAAGAAAAAGCTGCAAGTTAAAAAAAATACTGGTACCTGCAGAGAGTCACCATTAAGAATTAAGAAAACATTAAATGCTCAGCAACTCTGACTAAAGGCAATATTAACAATGAAAACTCAACATGAAACAGGTGATTAAAAATCAAAGCAAAGTTTCCCCCCGTTGTAAATTTGAACAAAGAAGACACATAGAATAGATTGCACAATTTATTGCCTGGCGTATTTCGATGTATCTCGGCAGGTGCATACTGCAGTAACAATTACATAAATGAAGCAAATAAGTGAATCCTTGATAACTGAAGTACAATTTTAGCAACATTCAAACATGATTGCCTGTTTTCACCAGGGCAGCCGTCAAGACAGAACCATCTCTTTCTGAATACAGAATTCTGGGCGCAGATGATCGTTGTTAAAATTGTACTTAAGTTATAAAGAATTCACTTATTTGCTTCCCGGCAATAAATTGTGCAATCTATTGTTTGTGTCTTCTTTGTTCAAAGCTAATTAAAAAGTCTAAAAAGTGACAGGCCCTCAGTGTGAAAAAGATTCAGATAGAAATATTTTTCAATTGTATTTCCTTACTCGTCTCTATATAAATCTATTTGGAAATATATCACTTGGCCAGGTTTATTTCACCCGTGGGGATCGTGTGTCTCTTTGTAAAGAAAAAAATAGCTAAAGTAACCACGTGACAGAATTATAATTGTAAATATTCGACTGATGTTTGGTCTTGCGGTCTACACACAGCCCTGTGTTACACACCGATGTTTGTTACTGAAATATTTCACCACTAGTTCTTGTATACATTCTGTTTGCACAATAATATTGTAATCATTGAACTCATGATGTTTTCACATGTCCATTTTTGAATTTTTAGGAGAATAAAGTTTATAACTTTTGTCTGAGATGTTGTGTTTGCTCCAGTTTTCTTGATATGAAAGTAAACACATAACTAATTACAGAAGAAGCCTTCTCAAAAACTGTTGAGATTGTAGGCTTAGGACGAGGTTTTGGACCCATCAAAGATGCAAACAGCAGTGAATGGAGAGTGAAAGCACCAAATATATTCATAAACTGTTTAAATCACCACTGATTATTCTTCCATTAGGGCTAATAAACTGCAGTGGTGTGTGTTCAACCCCATTAGGACCGTACAACGAGCGACCAACACCTGGTGACACAAAGTTTCACCATTCGGATGAGGATCGCTGTGCACAAGTCCTAGAAACTCTGTTCAACCACTAGGTTATATTAGGGCCCTTGACAACAGCCGGAGTGGGGCTTTAAAATAACGAAAACTCCCCTTCCATATTGTGACAGCAATAGTAGAGTACTGCAGTGGTTGATATAAATAGAGAGAATGGCAGAAAACAGAGACACACAAAACTGTGAACACAAAAGACTTGAATTTCTTTTTCTTGTATGACTTCCCTGATTGACACTGAAAGACAAGTTCTTCACTTTGTGATAATATTGGCCATTCATGGGCGTTCCTCTTTAATTAATCTTTAGTTCCATACACTTCTGAGGAAGGTGTTGAGTCACTGGGTCAGGCATATCTGTCCCTACGGGCTGTACAGGTACTAACATGATTGCATGACATGGGAGTAAAGCATGGTGAAGCACGTCTATGCCGTTTTGAGGCCAAAATAGGAGACAAATTAGCCAGTTTTTCATAGGAACAATTAATAGAAGTATTTTGGAGTGGCTGCTGCATCGGAGGACTAAGCACACATGGGAATGCCCAATGTGCAGTGACGTCGATTGTGATAACATAACATAAGGAAACCATATATTCCTGTTTTTGCGCCGGTGCCGTCTCGTTTTTTAGGCAGACCAAGAGTATCGAATCAATGTTTTTTGAAAAAGTGAATGGGGACAATAACAGAGTGAAATGGAGGAGCAAATTGAGACAATGTCAGATGACATAGATGTAAAAACTGTGTACACAAGAGAGCTGAATGGACGTAGACCAAAAGGCAGACGAAAAAGACAATATAATTGGATAATATCCAGAAAGACCGACAAATACTTGGTGACACCAGTTGGAAAGAGAAGGCCAATTAGAGAGATAAATGGAGGCGTGTGATATCTGCAGCAATGAACCTCAAGGGACCAGAATCTTGAAAGAAGCAGAAGAAAACGAACGAAAAATTAACGTTTTTTGAATATCGACGCGATATAGACCATGGCGTCGATATTAGAAAACGCCAGGCTTTCTCCAGCTGACGGGCTGTGGTGCTGACATCATCATCTTGACGTGACGTTACCGCCGCTGGCTAAGGATACGTTACGTTTTCAGCTCTGACAGTCCGGTTTATTCGGTGTGTTCCTGACCGTGCCCTGAGTACTCTCACAATAACTCTTGGAATAAGTTTAGGAATAGAACGCGTATATAAATATATACACGTATGCAAACTAAAAAGGAACATGATAAAACATTTTAATATTAACTTATTAGTATAGTTTATACCAGCGATTTTCAAACCTTTTTTTTTCGCCACGGCTCCCTTGTCGGCACCCCCCCCCCCCGTCCCTTTTCTCCCCAACCCAACACCTCCCTGGGGTAAATGGTGGAAGAGAAGAAGAAAAACAAAAATAAAAAGAAGAAGAAGACAATTCGCCAATTGTCCCGTGTTAAACTTACTTGCTTGGGATGTCTCTTTTGGGCTCAAAATATCAGTTGGATGTCCCGTTTTCAACTCAAGATATTATGATCACACTATGTTGATTCGATATTATATACCAAACCCCACTTGACTTGTGGTGTGGTTGCCTTTATCTTCTATGACATTTCCCAATACCAATTTTTAACTAGTTCGACACAGAAGCCCAGATTCAACGCTTGCTACTAAAACTTCTTTGGAGATTGAACAGGAAACCTGGGATATGCCTTGTTGATCTGCCGTCCAGATTGAGATTCTTTTATCTGGGGATGGTATAGTAAGCTTTTAGGCAATCAAGTGCTGGAGGTTCCGGGTTCAAGCCCAGGTAAAGGCTGGGATTTTTTCACGTGGATTCCTTGTAATTTCCCCTGGTACCTGGATAGTAAGACCGGATGCCCGTGTGTCAAATATCCCTTGGCAGTTGGATTAGTAAGTAAATTTTACCCACACCAGAACATCAAACAGAGCGGTAAACACCCGTGACACAAAGTGCCAACATGCGGATGAGGATCACCGGTGGAGAAGGCCCAGAAACCGCGTTCAGCCTTCAGGCTTTATTGCGGCCCCCGACAAAAGCCAGGGTGGGGCTTCAAAATAACGAAAAACTGCGTCCCACATGGGGACGACCTTAACAGTTAAAGCAGTTGGAAATCGAAAAAAGTAGCCTAACGGCGCTGCCTATGCAAAATTTTGAGTTTAAAATCTACCCAAAGTATCTCAGAATCCTCGCCGGTGCTACGGAGTTCGTGCCCTGCGCTGAGATTCTTCATACTCAGTCTTGAGTTAGAAGTAGAACGGAACACTTATGATTACCCGTTGTGCCATGATGTTGATCCGTCGTCTAGACCTAAACTTTAAAGGTAGAAGAGAGAAGCAGTCGAAGAGAACAACCCAAACCATTGATTATAGCCTAGGCCAGGTTCGATAATAACTAGGTGAAGTAATTATCGAGTTCCGGCCCTTGGTATTCCACAGCTATTCATGCCATATTTTAACTTGACACTTTTCAAAACAAACTGGACGATCTTCAAACCATCTAGGACATTTTTTAAATCAAACTGGACAGTTTTCAAATCAAATAGAACGATTTTGAAATCATCTAGGAAGTTTTTCAATCAAAGTGGACATTTTTAAAATCACATAGGGCGTTTTTCAAACCAATTTGGACGATTTTCAAACCACCTAGGACACTTTTAAAAGCAAACTGGACACAATTTGTTTTCAACAATTAATACTTCTTAACCAAGAAAGTAATGAATACATATTCGTGGGCTCACGTGACTCCTAATTCCACAAGCAAGATGTCAACGGGGCTGCTTCTAGATACTCAGTTAAGTGGTTTTGTGTTTTCGTGTTGTTTTGTCTTATTTACGTAGGTGCTGATGAAGTCACTATATCCTTAACGTCCATGTTTTGTTTGTTTTTGTTATATTGTGAAGCTCGCTGATCTATTTTTCGTTCTGTTTTATATCTTTCCGTGATAATAACTAGAACCCGTCCAGATCGGATTATGTGATTCGTAGCCGCCGGTTTCTTTTAATATGGCTGTACTACACATTTGAACGGTTTTACCCTTGTTGAGTTCTCACCTGAACAATGGCTCTTTAAGTCTCTTGTGGTTAATTCTGTTTAAGACAATCCTGGAGGAAGGAAATTATAATATATAAAAACTTCAGAGCTTTTATATAAAGACCTTCAGGTTAGTTTCAACATTCAACAGGCTTACGTGAAAATCGATGACTAATTCGTGGTTAGTTAGTTTGTGTTAGTCACCTGACTTCGGCCAACAACTGACCGAGACAGACCGAACTGGCTAGACCTGGGGGTCAACTTATCGGCAGTGTTTTTGAGAGTAGATAAGTCGTCGGTTCTCAATCTGTGCAGTCGTGCCGCATGAAAGGAGTACTTCTCAAATAACGACGTGTAACTGTTTTACAGACATTTGCAGTGCTATAACAATTATCGCGATATTTTACTGAAAGTTCAAGAACGCATGAATTTTGAATTAAGAATCGACATCCCAAAAGTGCTCAGTCCCGATCTTCGACAGCACGGCCATCTTTAGATATAAGAAGGCCGTGTTCGACAGCAAGCGAAGACTTCCAATTCCGATGGTACCAGCAACCGTCTGATTGTATATCCGTCTCATCCTTCCCCTGAGTGTCGAGCGTTGGCCAGATCCCCAAGTAACTCCCCGCAGAACCATTCTCCTTAGACTGTAATGATCTATCTGTGCCTCCGCACTGTTCACTCGCTATATACATCAATTCATTACCAAGTGGCGCAGAGCCAGCCAGTCTATCATGCCTGCTCATTTCCCCACACACCTTTCAAGAACGCTTGGAAGCAATTACACACATGAATGAAATAACATAACAGACAGAGCACTTATGGGAATGCCCCGAGCGCATGGATGTCAGTGTTTGATTCATTTATTAATTGATTCGTGAAATAACAAATATGAAAAAGCATCGATGCAGTACTTTCTTCATCTTCTATCAATATCTACTTTGTACTGCCTGGCGTCTATACAAATGATAGGTATTTGAGCTGGGGCGCCCTCTGTTGCTTGGTACAAACATAAAGGTGCACGCTAAACTTCTTTTCAATTGTAAAAGACTTTCCCCACGCTGGACTACAAGTTACTTCTAACCGTTTTGTGGTGCCCCAATGTAACTGTCCTATGTTATATGGTTAAACGATTGAACAGGGTTTCTTGAATTTGCTCCTGTTTTATTCTCATCCTTGGGATAGCAATCCTACAGGCTGCAATCCTGGGTTGTATGGGAGATTGGGGGGGGGGGGGGTGACTGAGCTAACTCGAACGATACGCTAATGAAAACCCTTTAGTGAACTTAATTCATTCATGTGACGTCTACGAAGACAGAGACAATAGTGATATAAAAACAATTAAAAAAACAATACCTTAAGACAAACATAGGAATTTAAGAATTTGGGAGCAATTTTCACATCCGACGGAAAACTGGACAGAGAAATTATTTTGAGATGTGCCAAAGCTAATCAAGCAATGGGGCGACTATTTTCCCTGTTGACACACAAACAGATCCCCCGAAGTCCTAAAGTGAACCTTATCAGAACTATTTTTTTTTCCCAACACTATGCAATCAGTGCCAAACGTAGACATTTACATCCTCTAATGAATGTAAAATTGTGACAACAGAGATGAAATGCCTAGAAGAGCTGCAGGAGTTTCAAGGAAAGACAGAATACGAAATCAGACGAATCCTAGAAATAAAGCCAGTCTCAAAGGTCATCAAAGAACAACAAACCTAACAAGAATGCCCTGGTACTATCTGCCACAGCGAGCCACACTAAAACGTTACAACGGGTATAGAGTGAGTGGAAGACCTCGGAAAATATGGAGTGATGGCATTAAGAATATCCTTACAGAAATGAACATGTCTTAATAGTGCTCTTGACAGAGCTCATAAAAGAACGTTACATCCCCCCCCCCTCCCCCGACACTTCGATGAGGTACAAGGTGGAAGAGAAGAAGAAGAAGACGTCGATAGAAGGCAAGTTTGAAAACCAGTGGGTGAAGTCAAGGTTTGGTTTAGTTCCGAATCTGTCACGTACATGTTGGGTGATACATTGATGAGCAGACGGTGATAGGCTGATGTTGAACAGACGTGGACTGTTGCCTAGTAACCCAGCCTGACAGGATGCGTGTCACGAGATATGGTGGTCACACTTGACCCCCTCCTCTCTCTTTATCTGTGTGTGTGTGTGTCTATATGTCTCTCTCTCTCTCTCTCTCTCTCTTTCTCTCTCTCTCTCTCTCTCTCTCTCTCTACTTCCTCTGTCTGTCTTTCTGTTTTTTCTCTCTGCTTCACTCTCATCTGTGTGTCTTTCTCTGTCCTTCTATTTTGTCGCTCATCTTCTCGCTGTGTCTTTGTATTTTCTTTCACCTTTGTCTGTCTATGTGCCTTCTCTCTCGCTCTCTCCCTCTCTCTGTTTCCCTCTCTCATCCTCGTCTATGGTGTGTGTGTTTCTCTCTGTGCGTGTGTATGTATGTATATGTATATATAATATATATATATATATATATATATATATATATTATATATATATATATATATATATATATATATATATATATATATATATCGCAGTCTGTGCCACCCGTCTCTCTTGTCTGTCGTGTCTTTCCTTTCTGTCTCTCATTTGCTGTATGTAGGTCTCTCTCTCTCTCTCTCTCTCTCTCTCTCTCTCTCTCTCTCTCTCTCTCTCTCTCTCAATAGAACACAGACCCTCATCAAATGCATACAAACCCAGGCGCACCATCACAGAGAACATCGTTTTTTTTTGCGGCTTCACGCCAACCCCCCCCCCCCCCCCCACCCTCCCCAATATTTTATGGGTGAGGAGCTCGATTCAATGTTTAATTCGTATAAAAGTAATAACATTATTACTATTGCTAATTAAACAAGGCTTAAACTGTACCACTGTGGCAAAAATGGGTCAGGATGACAGCAGACCGTTTTGATTGCTCACATGTTAAAGATATAATTAGGTCACATAAATAGTCATTATTTAACCCGCATGTAGAGATTTCACGTGATGTCAGGGAGATATCTTTATTGAACCCGGTTATCGTGGCTAGCTGACGGCAGCAAGACTGATGAGCATATTTGCTGTATCTGTTAGCTTTGGTGAACTTTACTCGAGTCCTGCACGAGAAGATAAATACAGTCGGCCGTGACTTCACTTTTGTGTGAGTCTGTGGGCAGGCTTCTGTGTTTGACCACTTTGGTAAGTTGTTCATGGATTCAGATCTCTCTAGGATGTTTGTTTGTTTGTTTGTTTATTTTAGTATCCAGAAGCCATGAGTTGGTAATCCTTAGGCTCAGTATTATGGATATCGCAACCTTGATTCCATTGTAAATACCGTAAATCTGGGGAGAAAACGTGGCTTTTCTGCCAACCCCCGGGAGTGAACCCGGACCACAAGGAGTTCGTCACCCGATCACCGCGCAATCCGGTTTATCCAACTACGCTAGAGAGCCGGGCCTCTGTGATGTTTGAATTGGTGTTTAAAAATAAGAGGATCGATTACATTGCGCAGAGTTCATCCCACGTGACTCGGTCTCCGCACAGCAGCTGGTCGCCCACGAACGCGTTACACATTGCGCGAGCTCTGTAGCTCCATGAACGATCCTTGATATACATGAAACGCATTCGCTAAAAGGATGGAGTCCGAAATCAAACCCACAATCTCACCATGTAGGTTCCGGGGGGGGGGGGTAGACCCACTGCCTCCTCTACAAGCATGTCATACAAGGCTATTATGGGTTTGCTGAAATCCGGTGTGTTGCTGAAATGCGCAGATTCGCAACCTGTTTGTAAACCACAACGCACCATGCCAACCATAATTTAAAGGACGAACGTAGAAGATGAAAAGACATGCTTGTTAGGGAGAGTGTGTCTATAACCCCACCCACAAATAAATCTTTTAGAATGTGGATTCACATTTTCAAATGTAATTGACGTTCATTGACTGTCAACTGCAATGTCAAGTTCTGGTTCTTCCCCCGCTTCTCGACTTTGGCCTTGTTTCAGAACTCGACTCCCCCCCCCCCCCCCCCCCAATCCCGTAACTGGGGTCCCGGAAGCAACACGGAGATTTCAGTATTCGGACAACGTAGATGGTATATATAGTTTGTTTCCCCACAGACTGTCTACTCTCTTCAGCTTCTCAGCCACGGTTGGTGATGGTCCTGGTTAATGGATTTCTTCTTCTGCGTTCGTCCTGAACTCTTTCAGTCCCACACGGTCGTAATTAAAGTCAGAGGACGTTGAGAAGGGCAATACTAAACGCACTTGCAGAAGGGCCATACATACAACCCTTGGAGGAAACAGATATGGTGTCCGAGTTCTTCAGAGTCGCTCAGTAAACATAAGATGTAAAAACATACCTAACATGTGTTTATTGGTATACATGAATAATACCCAGTCATCAAAGCCTTCTTCCTCTTTTGTTCGCTTGCAATAAATTATCTATATCTGCAGTGCTGTCTCTAGTATGAACTTCACACTCTTTTGTAATTCACTTAATGGCCCGTAAAGTTTGACTTCCACAAGTGTCTCTCTTGGCCAGAAGTTTTGCCTGGAGATGTATTTGGGACAGTCTCGGAAGATGTGATCTGTTGTCTCAGAGGCCAGTCCACATGTGCACATGGCTGATTCGCCCATTTTTAATTTTGTGTACATGTGGCTGCGAAGTCGATTGTGTCCTGTTCTAAGAATAATGACTTGCTCTGATCAAACTAATATAGTAATCATCTTGTGCCAGTTTCGATGGCTTATTTCTGATGTGATTCTTTTCTTATTTTATTGGTAAGAGACTGGTACGTCTGACTGACTGACTTTCTACCCCACCAGGACATCACACAAGCGATAAACACCCGATGACACAAAGTGCCACGATGTGGATGAGGATCGCCGTGGAGAGGTCACAGAAACCGCGTTCAGACATTTGGCCATATGTATTGCCTGCCTATATTGCGGCCCCTGGCAAAAGCCAGAGTAGGGCTTCAAATGACAAAAAAATTCGTCCTAAAAAGGACGAAATTTAATTTACCCGCAGTATAAACTGGTACGTAACGTCAGGTTGTTTATCAGCTCGTCATGCATAGTGGGTTGCTTGTGACAGAAAGACGGTTGGCATGTTATGTTGGGATTTACAACTAGGCTGTGATATTTGCGTCTTTCGATACAACATATCTAATTTTAGTAAATCCACTTTTTTACGACATGCTTGGAAGGGGCAATGGGTCAATTCTTTTTTCCCCTCATATTTTCAGACGCAGCAGATTTAGGCAACCGAAATCAAAGGGGGATAATCATGATAATGAACTGAGAAAGTTCTTCTTTTCTTCTTCTTCTGCGTTAGACATCATTCATGCTAAACATTGAGTCCTGTCTGGGTCACAAATAGGACTGAGACAGTGGACCAGGTAGTTGCAAAACTCCACTGTCCATGGAGTTGAATTACCTTCATCTTTGCTTCATGGTATACGGTTGTTGTTGGCAGTGAAAAATATGATAGATTGGCCGGCTCTGCCTTAGTTACAGATGGCCATCCTATGGTTCGCAATGACATTGTTAATATCCTTAGAGAGATAGGATGATCAGAGGGTTTTGGAAGCAACAAGTCTGCATGGCTGCTAAGAATGAGGCAATTATGAGTAAAGATTGGCATATCTAGTCACTATGCTCACACTGAGTGTAGACGAAGTCTTGTTAACCAACACAGGATGGCACTATTTAATATGCCTACAAATGAGTCAGATCTGTAAAACAGATGTGCACGCAACACTAAGGTTCTAGAACAGGACTAGAGTCCAGAAGTGGACAGACAACCAGAATTTTCTGATTGAGTTTAAGCTGGTGAATACAAAGAAGAAGACAACAATTAAATATGGAGCGCTGATATATGTATGTTAGGGGAGGAAAGGGGGGGGGGGGGGGTTGTTTGAGCACGTATGGACCTGTCAAGAGTGCCATGAAGATAACCCAACTCATGACAATGAAAATGGTATTAATGCAATTTTATTCTTTTCCCCCAAAATGAGGTACAGGAACCCACATAGGGATTAAAGGTGTGTTGTCGCCCTCTTTATTTTCAGACCTTATCTGGCAGATGCGACCTATGACCATCTCTATGTCTACAAGTTAATGTTTTTGTTTTTTTACGGTGTTTAGCCCAACATGATGGAAGCGATTGATACAAATGTGAAATCAAAGGTAAGTACTTGTTGTACAACGCATGCATCTGTTTATTCGTAAAGGGGTTTTTATACACAAGTGGTGAACCTGGTATATGATGCCAGACACATATTGTTTTAGCCCAACTGGCACTCAGTCGGTGATGTCACCCTGTTAACTTTCCAGGATAGATATTTAAAGCTATTATATTTTGTTTGCTATTATGGTATGTGTCTATGGCTTGGATGCTAAGGACAGTTTAATGATTCCAGCATTCCAGATTGATTCAGCTGCAGGTGATTTAGCAGCAGACTGCCTTGCTATTTCTACAGTCAAATTGCTCAGAAAGAAATGGCAAACTACTATATATATACATATACACACACACAAACGCAAATCAGTAAAACCGAACAGTTAACAAATGGTGGGTTATGTTTGTGATTGCCTGTGAAGAACACACAGCTAACTTTGTTATTATGAGTCATCTTCTTCTTTCTTTTTTTGTATTCACCAGCTGTAAACTGCAGCGGAAAGTTCTGATTGTTTTTCCACTTCTGTACTTTAATCTTGTTCTACAACTTCAGTTATTATGAGTAGTAAAGATTCTTTGAATGTAAACATATGACTACAAAATAAGTTAATAAATCACCCTTTTAATGCAAATGGCATATCATGTAATTTTTTTAAATCTTTATGTGTGTGTGTGTGTGGCATTCAGTTAGTGTAACAAGTTGCACTACATGTGAGAATTGGGCCTCATGACATATTATCCAATAGACATGAATGGGTACAGTGCAGCCAACCTTAATTGCGGAGACAATATAAAATAGAATATGCTTGATGTGGGCTGTGATTAAAAACATGTTAGTTACCTTTACTTCCCAGTACATCTCCTGGTACCCATTTTAGAATGGGTCGACTTAGGAACCCATGATCAATAATAAAAACTTCTCTCAATGCATGTTTGAACCTAAGACCTTCAGTCATCAAGCAAAGCATCTAACTCCTGTACATACCTTAGGTGACGAGATACCAGCTGGGGTTAGATGCTCTACCCCCCCCCCCCCCCCCCGTGTGGGTTCCATGGCTCCAGTGAAAAGACCCAGCAGGCAATTATCAGTTCCCTGTGCAGGAATGGCGGTCTCTTTCACATAGTTCACATTAAAATGTTGATGCTAATCATCTACAGCTGGTTTCCTCTCAGACCAGAATAGATCCACTGCTCCCCTGACAAGCACGTCACTGCAGGTGACTAGTCAGGGTGGTTTCTTTCAAAGTTGGAGTGCATCTGCCTGGAGGCGAGGAACCAACAGTCTACATACAAATAAGCCAGATCTGTAGAATGGATGTGCACGCAAACGTGAAGTTCTGGATCAAGACCAAAGTCCAGGAGCTGACAAACAACTATAGCTTTCCCCCAGTTTTGTAGCTGGTGAACACTTTTGCGGTTGGTGAACACTTTTGCGGCTGGTGAACACTTTTGCGGCTGGTGAACACTTTTGCAGTTGGTGAACACTTTTGCAGTTGGTGAACACTTTTGCAGCTGGTGAACACTTTTGCAGCTGGTGAACACTTTTTGTCTGTGCTGCAGCAGATTTGGTTGTGAATTACATATTCAAAAGATGGTGAGAGACTGGTTGCCAAAGAACTGGCAGTATGGCTTATGCAGTAATGTGTGAACACCTGTTGGTTTGTCTTGACTGCTGCTTCTCTAAACTATGAACTGAAATTATAGTGAGAGACTATTGGTTTTTGGTACCTCTGCTAAAACCAACAGCCTGTCTCTCTCTCGCATTTTATGAATGTGTGAGCTGTTGAATTTTGAAAGGAATGCTGTCTGTTCGACATTTCAGATGGAATAGTAATAGACATTTTATGTGGCTTACACTGGCACATGAGCAGAGTTGTTAAGGAGTTACCTTATTTCGGGGAAGTTGGAACTGCAACAAATATCACAGGTGCAGATATCACAGCCAAGCTGTAACTCACAACACAACATACGAACCGCCTTTTTAAGGATGAACACACACACACAAAAAAGCTCTTCATCAACATCATCATCACATATAAACAAATATTTATCTCAGATGTTAAACATTGTGATAGTGGGTGAATTAATGCTAACAATTTGTTACAGGTGACTTTACCCAAAATTGTGGTGAAATCCCCAGTTGTACATGACACATGGACCGATGGGAAGTTTATCACTTACATGATCTGTATTAGGGTAAGTTACAGTATTACTTTTGATCTGATCTTAAATCTCCTCAATATGGATTCTGGGGCCCATTATGAGGAAAGAAGAATAGTAAATAAGTAAATTTTACCTCATCAGGACATTACACAAAGCGATTAACACCCAAGTGACACAAAGTGCCACCATGCGAATGAGGATCACCAGTGGATAGGTACCAAAAACAATGCAGAGGTCAACTGCTAGGCTTTGTAGGCTGTATTCAGGGTGCGGGCCAATGGTTGAATAGCCCGGATATAGGTCCCTTGATAAGAATGTCACAAAAAGTGACTAATAAGAGGTAATGAAGACTGTAAACATTAGCTGTGGCAATGTCTTATGCCAGTTTTTTTTGTTTTTAATGTCTTGTAATTTTGACTGCAAAATTAGGTCTTTGACTTGGCTTGCTTTGGGAAAAAAAAGCATCAGCTAGCAAGGGGGAGCTCTAGGTTATCATTGAATTGTGACTAGTTTATGTGCCCCATATAAAATGGCTAAGCATTGCTCGCCATTAAGTAGCTCTGAAAAGAATTCTTGTAGTGTTGATGCGGTCCAAGGAGACAGACCCAGCACTGTCCTGACCGGCAGCAATGTCGCCAACTGGTGAGTCAATGGGCGATCAAGTCACCGACGAAATAAGGTCGTAAAAACAAAAGTCGTTAGTTGCGTATCATTTACAGGATGTTGCAGAACCAACCCCAGGATTTTTTAGCTGTTGTGTTTTTTCTCCGCAAATTTACCTCCAGTAGTTTGCCACTGCTTTCTGGAGGGTCAGCTTCTCGATACCACTGTCGAAACCAACGCAAGGCACAAGGTCTGCAGCTGGGATTGAACCCGACACCCTAACATTACGAAGCGCGTTCGCAACATCTAAGCCACAGACACCGACAAAAATAAAAGACATACTGTATAGTTCATGCCCAAATAAAAGCATTAATATAAAGTAATGTTCTTCTACAATCCTGGATATGAAAGGAAAAACTTTATAAGACAATAACTTACCTCTACAGCTCACACAGAAAAGAAAAATACCAAACAAGATCATTAGTTATCTTCAAATTCCTATGGCAGTGGTCTCCGACCTATTTCATGTCATGCCCCCTTGAATATGTGGCTAGACCCCCAGGGTGAAGACGTCTGCTTTAGGGTGACAGAAGAAATTCTGCACGTCCACAGCTTGTCGCTCCGGTTGATGATTCAAGAAGAAAGATTATATTCTTCTTCTTTGGTTGCAGCTGGCAGATTGAGTGATGGTTTACAGCTAGGTTGTGATATCTGGCCCAACATATTTGATTTCAGCAAATTCTGAATTTGTTGCCTTTTACAACATGCTTGTTAAGGGGTATAGGGGTCTCTCCCCCCCCCCCCCTTTTTTCCCCAAAAGTTGAGCCCCGGATCACAAGAGGAGAAAAATTATCCAAAGACAACTGCTGAAAAAGATATATTATTACTATCTAAAAGATGCAAATGAACACATATTTAGTCCACCACTGAAACATATTTGTCATACATATCACAGTTAGCAGAGGTAATCGGTGTCTTACAAGTTTGTCTGTTGGCCAGGCTTTTGTGAGTTTGAATCCTATTCAAAGTAATTCTAGTTTCAATGACCTAATGTCCCCATGTCAATCCAACACAAAATGGGCACCTGGAAATATTCTTGGTAATAAAGGCAACCACTGTGTGTTGATTAGACAGTGATCTCCATGTGGATTTTGGGTCAGGGCGCCAGTTCGGTGAAAAAGAGAACAGACCCACTGCTCCTGTAACAGGCATGTAAATTGAGGTGACTAATTGGGGCTATTTCGAAGTCAGAGTGCTCCTGCATGAGGTGAGAAACTATTAGTCTGCATACAAATAAGCCACATATGTAAAATGGATTATTATGCAACACTCAAGTTCTGGATGTAGATGAACAACAAGAAATTTCTCCCAAAGTTTACAGTCGGTTAATGCTGGAAAAAAAAAAAAGACTGGTCTGTGAAATTAATGGGCTAGCAACATACTGCCATTAGCAATGTTTTGTCTGCACAAGTCTGGATGAAAGTGATTTATCCTCTCAATAAAAACTTGCATTTGCTCTGCTAAAACAGGCAGTTACTTTTGAGTCAGGTTGATTTTGTATTTCAGTTGTAAAGATTTGCTCAGCTGTTACTACCATCCCCTCCCCCTGTAAAAATACCTTCAGACGTATTGGCCATATAAGGCTAAACCTACATTTAATAGACCAACCATCACTTGGTGGATTATGGGGTCACTATGACGCCAGCCACCTTTACTTTCCAGGACTTTTACCTGCTAGTACCTGTGTAAGGCTAGGTCGACGTGGAAGCCAAAATCATTTCTGCAGGCAACCAGATATAATATACTTACTGACTTACTAATTCAATCCTCTCCTACGTTGTGATATTGAAGTTGCCAGAGAGACCACACCAGACTTTTCAGCAATTTTAATTTTGGCTTTATGCCATTGTAGTCTTCTGTCAGTCAGGGTCTGTAGGATGTTGTCTTCCAAGCAAACCCTGGGTCACACCGGCGGTCTAAATTCTTGCTTCTTAGCCTCCCATGCCTGCCTCTCCTATTCGGCATACATGTCCATACCAACGCAACTGACTGACCCACTCGATTTTGTACAGTGAAATGTGCTAGGCATTAAATTGTACAGTCTATTTCTTTCCTCACATTTACAACAGAGAAACCCAGCTTTGATTATATCATTACACAGTGTGGTATATACCAGAGAAATGCCAAAGATGTGTTGACTTTCTTCTTCTCTAGACAGACCATCCATCTTTTCATCTCCATTTGTCGGCTATTAGACGACGCTTCTCTGAAATACGATGGCTATTGAAAGTTCTCAGAGCGAACCATCCACATATGTAAGTAGCTATTATCAACAAAACTGTCACATAATATGGCACATACAAATGACACATACATATCATCACATAACCTCAGACATGTGCCTGTCATGGCAGCATAACAGCAATTTTATCAGCCATTTGAAATGTCATCTAAAATCAAAGTAGATATTTTTACCACATTGTCATCTTTGTATGTAAGTAGCTATCATTACCACAGTGTTACCTACATACGTAAGTAGCTACTACTACCAAACACAGTATTACATACATATGTAAGTAGCTGCTACTACAACACAGTGTCACCTACATATGTAATTAGATGTCATTACCAGTTTTATCTACACACCTATTACCATGGTGTTATCTACACACCCATTACCACAGTGTTACCTACATACATAAGTAGCTGCTACTTCCACACAGTGTCACCTACATATATAATAAGCTGTTATTACAACACAGTGTCACCTACTCGTGTAATAAGCTGTTATTACAACACAGTGTCATCTACATATGTAATAAGCTGTTATTACAACACAGTGTCACCTACATATGTAATAAGCTGTTATTACAACACAGTGTCACCTACATATGTAATTAGCTGTTATTACAACACAGTGTCACCTACTCATGTAATTAGCTGTTATTACAACACAGTGTCATCTACATATGTAATAAGCTGTTATTACAACACAGTGTCACCTACATATGTAATTAGCTGTTATTAGAACACAGTGTCACCTACATATGTAATTAGCTGTTATTACTGCTCAGTGTCACCTAGATATGTAATTAGCTGTTATTACACACAGAGCCACCTACATATGTAATTAGCTGTTATTACACACAGAGCCACCTACATATGTAATTAGCTGTTATTACACACAGAGCCACCTACATATGTAATTAGCTGTTATTACAACACACTGTCACCTACATATGTAATTAGCTGTTATTACACACAGAGCCACCTACATATGTAATTAGCTGTTATTACACACAGAGCCACCTACATATGTAATTAGCTGTTATTACACACAGAGCCACCTACATATGTAATTAGCTGTTATTACACACAGAGCCACCTACATATGTAATTAGCTGTTATTACACACAGAGCCACCTACATATTACATCCATGACCTGCAGAGAGCGAGCAAAGTTTGACCAATTTACCCATAAACCCCTGAAATTGTCAACACTTAGTCAAAGGTCAATGTCTAAGATTTTTTTTTTCTTGGAAAAAAGGAGCCGGCACTCTCCACAAAGTATCTATTACAGTTGCACTGACAAAATGATGCCTTGAAAGAGGTGCTAGCACTGTGTACCATTGAGTACCACCAGAAAAAACAGCCCTGTATATGACAAAAAGAATGTTAGAGAACTCTGGTTGAAAAGAAAAGACATCAAATTTACAACTCAGTAAATACTATTCTCTTCACAGCCAATTTCCTGCGCCACCTGCGAAAAAGATTTTTGGAGAGCAGTTTGAGAGCACCTTTGTTAACTTCAGGCTGAAGGAAATAGAAGAGTTTCTCAATAAGTATGATCATCTATTTGTTTTTATATAATTTAGATAGAGGTTTATCTATTTGTTTTTATATAATTTAGCTAGAGGTTTATCTATTTGTTTTTATATAATTTAGATAGAGGTTTATCTATTTGTTTTTATATAATTTAGCTAGAGGTTTATCTATTTGTTTTTATATAATTTAGCTAAAAGTTTATCTATTTGTTTTTATATAATTTAGCTAGAGGTTTATCTATTTGTTTTTGTATAATTTAGCTAGAGGTTTATTTGTTTCATTTTTTTAATTGTTTCTTCAAAAATGATAGAATCAGGGATGGAATAACTTAGTTCCATTTTAACAGGCAAGCAGCCCGCTTCATCTTCTACTGCCTTTTATCTGTCAGTAGAGCACAAGTTCTTAACAAGCTGCATTATTTACTGCTGTCCTTTTGTCTTGTCTTCTGCCATCGCACTATTTACTGCTACCATTTTGTTTGCCTTTTTCCACTGAATTATCAGGGGCTTTGTGGTCTCGGGGCATGGCATCCGCCTCTAGTGCTGGAGTTCCCAGGTTCAAGCCCCAGTGAAGGCTGGGATTTTTTCATGTGGACTTCTAGTAATTTTCTCTAGTCTCTGGGTAGTAAGATCTGATGCCGGTGTGAATTGTTGCACATGTACAAAAAATCCCTTGGCAGTTGGAAGTTGAAAAAGAGTAGCCTAAAGGCACTATCTGGGCAAAATCTGGAGTTAAAATCTACCCAAAGTATTTCAGGATCCTCGCAGGTGCTACAGAGTTCGTACACTGGGATGAGATTCTTCTGACAGAATTAGAACGGAGCACTTATGGGTTACTACCCTTGTGTCATGATGTTGTCCGTCGTCTAAACCTAATCTAAACCTCAACCACTGCATTATTAACTGCTGCCCTTTTGTTTACCATCTTCCAATGCACAGTTTACTGCTGACTTTTGTTTACCTTCTCCTACTGCACTATTTACTGTTACTCTTTTGTTTACCTTCTTCTATTGCCTTACTTACTGCTGTCATTTGTTTACCTTCTTCCATTACTACTATCCTTTTATTTACCTTTTTCCATTGCACTGTTTACTGCTACCATTTTGTTTATCCGCTTCCATTGCATTATTTACTACTGTCCTTTGTTTACTCTCTTTATGGCTTCCCTTTTGTTTACTTTCTTCCACTGCACTATTTATGGCTTCCCTTTTGTTTACCTTCTTCAATTTCATAATTTACAACTACCCTTTTGTTTACCTTTTGCAACTACACTATTCACAACTGTCACCTCTTCTCTACAGACTGGTAGCCACAGACACTGTGCTGTCTGATACAGCCTTCCACTTATTCCTGCAGACAGATCTGACAACCCAAGAGATAGAACAATATTTCGATGGAACTCTCCCAGAAGCCACCATTGACAGGGCCTGGCAGAATGCAAGTCATCTCCATAGCAGCAGTTATTTTGTGAAGTAAGTCACCATCTGTGGCTTCGCGGTTCTGAATGAAGGTTCGTAATTCTGAAATACCTGGTTTGATTCAACTGCTGATGATTTAGCAGCAGCCCACTTTGCATTGACTATGATAGAAGAATGGGTTTTGACCATTCAGGAGCAATAGCAGACTGCTGAATGTAAAACCATAAACAGCTAACAAATGCTGGGGTTGGTTTCCAAATTCCTGTAGAGAATATACAAGTAACTTTCTTAGGGAAGAATCTAACATGCAGTAGCAGAGTTGGGATTTTCAGTGTAAAGGGATGATTACCTGAGAGCCATAATATTCAGTCCGTCTGTTTATATGGTCTTTGATGTTGTTAGGAGCTTTCAGTTGGCTATTTTGATCAGTTCATTTCAATGACTGCATTTTCCTACCAATTTTCTTGTTGTGTTGTAAAAGCACATAATGGTTTTTTTGTTGCTGATGTTTTCGCTAGGTCAACTAAACATTTTTCTTGTAAGCACTTTCATCTGCCTTTCATGTTCATTATTACTTCTGTGAATCATTTCTAAATATCTCTGATTTTGCTGCATAAGCCTGACTTTTCTATTTTCATTCTTAATTTTTAGGATTTCTGGTATTATTTAATATGTATGATTTAAATGACATTTCCCATGGACTTCTATTCTTAATTCATTTCAAATGTTTCTAATCTATTGTCACAGTAAACAGACTCACACCAGTATGTGGGTGACATCAAAACTAATCACTAGCAGAGTGAGAAATAAAGTGTGCTATACTATTGCTTCTGATAAACAGCTCTAGTCATCATTCTGAACTTTGTGAAGACAATCCTGGCTAAACACAAAGTGAAGACAGAATTATTTCTGTGAACTGTTCATTATAATTTATGATACACCCCCGTGTGGGTTCCGGGGCCCTATTTTAGGGGAAACGAGAAAAGACCCACTGCCTACCCAAAAGCATGTTGTAAGAGTCGACTAATTGGGAACTTCCTTCGAAGTTGGAGTGCATTTGCCTTAGAGGCAAGGAACCAACAGTCTGCACACAAATGTGTCAGATCTGTCAAACTGATGCATATGCAGCACTCAGGTTCTGGAACAGGACTGTAGTCCACAAGTGGACGAACAACCAGAACTTTCCACCAGAGTTTACAGCTGGTGAACGCAAAGAAAAAGATTTATGACACAAATCAATATTTGTTTCAAAAATAATTGACAGTCTATAAGACAGATGGCTGGGGACAGCTTGGTTACCAATCGCGATTATACTACAGGTTACTCAGTAAGCATTGGGTGCCACAAGATAACAAATTCAGGATTTGTACCTGTTCGATTCTATTCTTTAAATGTTAATCCTACAAATTGCAATCACAGAAAGTGAGGGGGAATTTAATTTTAAAATAGTCTTCGTAAACCTTATTTCTGTTTCTCATCCACAGTGCCACAGTTATGCCCTTGGAACCTCAAGAAATTGTGATGGGCAAGGAAGATTTGCACTACAGCAGCCAGATGTCACTGTCATCAGAAGACTTAAGTTCCCAGTCCAGTTTCAGGAATGATAATTGTGGGCCTGCACTTCTAGATGTGATTAATTGCAATTATGTGAGATAATATGTTACAAATCTGAAGTGTTTTTACATTGATATAATGACAATGCATGCCTAGATCTCTTACATACAGAGATCTCTGTGTATAATTATTCTCATGCATAATCCTTAAATATAGTGATCCCCATGTACAGGGTGTTTGTAAAGTCTTACTACACTTTGTACGTTGAAAAATATGTGAAACATATAACACAGTGTCATCAAAAGATGTGCTCCACAGACAACTGTGAAGCAATATGCAGTGAATGGTTGTCATCTCCTGTACTAATTCTTTGCATTCAAAGCAAAATAGTGTTGTCAACAACAACATAAGATTTTTTTTTTTTTTTTTTGATTCATCAAGTGTTTTGAAATGATGTGTGAAATGACACATAGATGGTTGTTCAAAGATTTTTAGCAAAATTTCCTGCTACTGACTATTTCTTTGCTACTTTTCAGCTTCCCTAAAACAGCAATAGACCATAACTGCAGCTAATTTTATTACTTTTTTAGCAAATTTATTGAAAATGTCACGAACTTAGTTTTTTACCACATCTGTTCTGAATTCAAAGAGTAGTGAGACGTTTAAAAATACCCTATATAATCCTTACATACTGAGATCTTCATGTAAAAATCTTACATACTGAGATCTTCATGTAAAAATCTTACATACTGAGATCTTCATGTAAAAATCTTACATACTGAGATCTTCATGTAAAAATCTTACATACTGAGATCTTCATGTAAAAATCTTATATATCGAGATCTTCATGTAAAAATCTTACATATTGAGATTCCCATGTACAGTCCTTACATACTAATATTTCTACAAATTATACTTACATATTGAGATTCCCATGTACAGTCCTTACGTACTAATATTTCTACAAATTATACCTACACATTGAGATTCCCATGTACAGTCCTTACATACTAATACTTCTCTATACATAGTGGGGTTCCCATATATTATCTCTACACACTGGGATCAACATAAACTATCCTGATATATTTAAATTTTTTACATACATAATTTATCCTGTTTTTTCATTGACATTTTTGTTTGATATTTGCCTGAAAAGTCAATATTTTTCCCTCCTCTAATGTGGCCCGTGAGTCATTAGATAAGGAAAAAGAAGATGATAGGCCAGTTCCAAGTGTTGAAATTAAAGAATGGCTGTCCACTTGGTCAAAAATGCAGGTTTTATCAAGAAATGGCATGCAAAAATTGCTGTAGTAATCTGCATATCAATTCATTTGACACTTTCAGAAAATTTTAAAAACAGAAGAAGACAAACAACATTGGGTAACTTTTTTGTTTTGTTTTATGAGTGCTGGTGAATCGTCTGGAATGCTGATGAATCCTTAAGATATCAATTACCAGAAGTAACATTACCTCATGCCGTAATGGAAGGTGACCATACAATACAGATAATGACTTAGGTCAATGGATTCACAACTGGAGATGAGTCCAATGATCTTCAAAAACGAACAGCTGCTCTTAGCATGATTCACGAAAACTATCCCGAACAGTCATGGAGACATTTTTACACAGATGGATCAGCAACCAGTGCGGTTAAAAATGGGGGTGCTGGAGTCTTTATTACATACCTGGGCAACCATCGCCACACAAAGTGTATACCCACTGGTAAATTATGCTCCAACTACACAGCAGAGATCGTAGCACTAGAGCAGGCTGCCGAAATGTTACACAACACCAATTCTGACGGCCACCAAGTGGTCATATTCACAGATGCGCTATCGGTGCTTCAAGCCCTCAAGAGTGGCAAACTCCCTCACCTGAGATCTGAACTTGGCAAGGTGGCTGCCCAAATGTGTACTGTACTCCAGTGGGTGCCATCATACTGTGGTATACCAGGAAACGAAACCGCAGATAAACTTGCTAAAAAAGGGGCAGAATGTGACCAGGAAGAGAATGCAGTAACATACTATGAGAAGAAAAGGGCCATGCAGGCTATTCGAAGTGAATTGAGTCTGGCCAGAGATGACTACCACTTACTTGACCGGCATGGGCAGGTCATTGTCCTACGTCTCATGACAGCCCATAACGAACTTAACCAGCATATGCACATGCTTCGTCTTAGTAGTTCACCTTTGTGCCCTTGTGGGCTATGTGTGCAGACTACAGAACATGTCCTGCAAGACTTCTCTTGTTCATTCCATTAAGAAAGGAATACTGGCCCAGAGAGTCACCACTGTACACAAAGTTGTATGGGACTAAAAACGAACTCATAAAAACAGTCAAGTTTATCACAAAAACCTGTCTGTCGGTGTAAATCAGAAAGCGAACACAAAAAGAAGAAGAAGAAGGTGACCACCTAACCAAAAAACAGCCATTGTTTGTTTTTTCATCCAAAACAATTAATGTTTTAAAAAATTGTATTTATGTTTTTATGTAGGTCTACAGTATATTTACATCATAAGGATGAGTACATCTCAGTCATAATGATAAAGCAGTAATAAGTATAGTGGTTAGTATGTAATTAAAATGTATTTGCAATTTTCTTAGATCGATCTTTAATTGAATTCTTTTTGTTGGAAAGGGGTGGGGGGGGGGGGAAGGGGGAGTTAGAAATAACATTTAGAACCTGCATTTGCCCAGTTAATTTTAAATATAGTCGATTTTTGTCTCAGCATTCATTTGTTTGCTTTATTGTGATCAGTTGCTACTGTAATATGCACTTAATGAGATTTCATTAAGTATATCAGGCAATAAAATCTGCAATCCATTGGTTGTATCTTCTGTGTGTTTTTGTTTTGTTTTGTTTGTTCAAAATAAATATTAGCAAGTGAGTGAAGTTGAACCCCTCTATGACCGTATGTTGAGCGATTTACACCCAACTACAAATCTCAGTGTCATAAAGCTCCTTCAGACTCATCACATTCACAGATGGGCAACTATTATGACAGGTCATATAACAAATAAACAAACATCGGACAGCTGTGATCACTTCAAACACACCTACTTTAAATTTTAATATAATAAACCATAATTAGGTAATGGGGTGGCTCGGGTTTTAAACTTCTTCGTTCCCTACAATCCGCAGTTAGCCTTGTGGATGAATCCGCAAATAGTACCTAGCGGCCACATTATATACTACTGCCAGTACAATAGTAACAATTGTATAACAAACTGTCACTATTGCCTGTATTTACCCCTTTTTAGGGCGTGTAGACGGGGGGGGGGGTCGATCATGAGCCTGAGGATTTGGGGCTTCATGGCTAGTGCTGTCACCACGGACTGTATAGGTTAAGTTGTTTAATGTTGCTTGGACCAAAAACCTTTATCACCATTCGGGGAGGGGTGTCCAACCCGAGTCTCCTGCACGAGAGCCTGTCGTTATAACCGCTCCTGGCTAATACAGTCTCAGCTGTTTAAGTCAGTCGTTCAAGCAGGTGGCGTTGTTGCTTCACGATAGCGCAATTACAATAACAAATTCAGTCATGGTTTAATCTAATTCTTTGTTGGGCTGTACCGAATATTCGCTTCGTATTCGCTTTAGGGCAAATAGTGGACCTAATAACTATTCGGTATTCAGCTTGAATAATTGCGGTCGGGTCGAATACGAATAGTGGTTACCTTACACCCGTTTCAGCATACACTGCAATGGACTGAAATAACTCTCTCGTTAACACAATAGTTGCTGTTGCCTAAGTCTGTCGTAGCGGGGCAAACTGCGACCCGGTTGCGTGATACAGAAGCTGACAAGGTCTTTGCCTGCTGACTCGACCGAAGCATTACAGTAGAGGTTCTCAAACTGGGTGCGTATGCCAGGGGTGTCGCGGCGAAAATCAACCAAAGTCAGCTATAAATTGCAACATTATTAAAGAAGGCATGAAGATACTTAAAAGTTAAAATTTAAATTGTCTTTCCTCGCCACTGTTGAAAAGAGTGTCCCCCCCCCCACCCCTTGTTTCACACTTTCAAAGTGTACCATACTGCATAAAATGCCAGCTGCAGCGTGCTAAAAATTGTCTTTGTATTTATCTCGACATGCTACCGATCCTCCATCTGTAACCGTGAAGGTGCAGCGGATAAGTAAGTTTGTGATTACATTTTGGCTGAAATTTTAAAGTGGAAAATAGTAACTGTTAGCCTCGTTAAGCAAGGACTTATATTTAAAGGCAATGCGTTGTGAGTCCAAGATAATCGGTTGGCAGGCCAGGCAATTTCTTGAGGCCTCAGAGATGTAGTTTTATAGAGCAATGCTCAAAATGCCTTAGACATCGGACCCAAAAAAGCAACCAAGAGGTTTTGAAAAAGGCAGGAGACAACTTATAACAGACATCAGAAGGAGACAATCATCATTTCCCCTGTTTGGTTTTACTTGAATTACATACATAGAGCGTTCGCAATGACGAAGAAAATGACGAGGAAGAGGAGGAAGAAGAAGACAAGAAGAATAAGTCAGGCTAAGATGGTGATGATGATGAGTCCAATTCTATATTTGTAGACGGCGGTGGCAGCGCATCACCTGGTACTTCCGGTAGAAAGTTTGGGTTCTGCTGGTGACGTCAGGTCAACCAATTTAAGTCTTAGGTTCTTCGATCTTTGTCACCAGCTTCCAACCATTTCCTCACAGGATAGCATTTTAAGTTTTCTGTCGGATAACAAATTGTTACCAGACCACTGTTATCGCTCATTTCTCTTTACTGAACAATAAATATGTCGTATCCCAAAGGTGAGAAGTTGTAGTTGTAGTGTCTCTTAGTCACGATTTGAAGTACAGTCAATTCAGTCATAATAATTAATAATATTATCAATTTCCACTTGTGCCTTTGCCTTTAAGCGTTATGGGGAGAAACAGTTTGTGATCCATTGCTTGATGGACATCAATGGCTGTTGTCATTCCATGTCCATGATGAAGCTCTTTAATGTCATCAATCCATGTTCTCCTAGGGCGGTCTCTTACTTTCACTTCAGATCTTTTCATGTGTAGCGCCTGCGTTTTTAGTTGTTCTGTTTGCATTCTTACTAGATTACCGAACAATTTGATCTTCTGTTTCTCAACGAGTTTGCTGCATGACGTTGTTCCTAGTCTGTCCGATGGTAATCACTTTTAACTTTGTCTCAAATGATTTAAGTTGGTAGCTCTTCTCAAATATCTCATTTCACAGCTGTTAATTTTACGTAAGTTAGCTTTCAATAATAAGTAAGTAAATTTCACCCCAACAGGACATCTCACAGAGCGATAAATACCCTGTGACACAAAGTGCGGATGAGGATAACCCATGGAAAGGTTCCAGAAACCGCGTTCAATCTTCAGGCTATATTGCGGCCCCTGGCAACAACTAGGGTGGGGCTTCAATATAACTAAATATTTCATCCCTCATGGGGACAATCTTGGTTATATCCTTCGATAATGTCCAAGTCTGGCACTAGTAGTATAGTGTTGGTATGAATATGCTGTATATAAAATGTTATTATATAGTGATAGTTATTATATAATTAAGTACAGTACTGCTTTGAATTTTGAGGCTTGCTTGATTTGAAAAAAAAAAAATTAATGATTTCTACTTTCTCATAATTAACTGAGACTTGAAACATAAGTCTTTGTTTGCTACTCTACTTCTCTTTACTGAAAATAATATCATATCCCAAAGGAGAGTTGAGTTGAGTTTCAAGAACCGACATCACAGCACTTGGAGGCATTTCCAAATATGCTCCATCCGCATCTTCCTCAGCCAGTGAAGAGTTCAAACTCTGATAGTACCTGTAATAGTCTGATTGTATGTGTGTCTTGCCTTTCTTCTGATTATGGAGTGTCGGCCAAATTCCCTGGTTACCCTCCATTACACCATTCTCTTCAGATAATAATCGAATTGTGCCTCTGCACTGCTCCCTCGCTTCCTAAGGGTCTTGAAAACATCTAGCATTTCATGCATCAGCTTACCACCGAGTGGTGCAGAATAAGTCAGTCTGACTCACTATTCATTCCAATCACCTGTGTACTCTGGATAAAATATCCAACGGATTCTAACTATTCTGGACCATTGCAGCGATGCATGACATACTGCCCGGAGCATACCTATCTCCACCCTTCTCAGCTTGCTTTGTGGGTCAGTTACAATCACAACACGTATGTGCAGCCGATCCTCAAGCCAGTTAAAAGCTGCAGTGACTGCCTCTACCTCAGTTCTCAAACTAGATGTTGTGATATATGCCAGGCTTTGTTGCACCCAGGGTTGTCCATTCACTTTTGCAATGAACCCCTATTCACTTCTTCTGCCTCTTAACACAGAGCCATCAGCACAGATAATTACATCACCTGGGAAAAAAATTGTCAAAAGAGTGGCAAGCATAATTTCAGAGGTCCCGGGTAGTTAGCATCCTTTAAATATTTTCTCCAGGTGATGCTGGTGTGTTGGGAAATGAGCAGGCAGACTGGCTGGCTCTGTACCCCTTGGTGGTGAACTGATGTATGACAAGCTAGATATTGGGAGGGAGTGAACAGTGTGGAGGCACAGACAGATCTTTACGGTCTGAAAAGAATGACCCTGTGAAGAGTTACAAGGGGTCAGGCAGACGCTCAACATTCAGGGGAAGGGCAAGACGGATATGCAATCAAACAGTTACTGGTACCATCGGAATTGGAACTCTTCGCTTGCTGTTGAAGATGGGGACGGAGCGTTTATGGGAGTGTCCCGCGTGCTAAGATGTTGATTCTTAATTCAGAATTCAACATTCTAGCAGAGTTTACAGCTGGTGAATGCTAAGAAGAAGAATACCAGGGCTGCTGGCCTAGGGGCTGTTTATTAGAAATCTTAGACAGTATTAAGGAACATTTGTAACACTTTAAAAATCTAATAGGTAAATACAAAGATTACATTTTTAGTGAAGAAGAACATACAGTACTTAAAACGAGGCAGCCAAGGTAGATGAGTTAATCCAAATATTGTTGTTTACAGATCCGTACTATGAGAAAGCTCCTACAGGTGGCAGCTATCCACAAATGGCTGCGGCACCAACAGGCCAGTATTTTCCACCATCATACCCTAGTGCACCTCCACCATATTCAGCGGTTGCTCCTGCAGGACCTGGGGCAGCAGTGCCCACCTACCAGCCGGCTCCATATGCTTATGGTACAGGTAAGGTTTTGTAACCTACATTGCCCATGTGAGTTCTGGGGCTTCATTGTGAAAAAGAGGGGGTGGAAAAGGGGGTGGTAGGAGAATAGATCCACTGCTAACAAGCATGTTGTAAGAGTGGACAAATTATTTATGTTTCCTTCGAATTTAGAGTGCATCTGCCTGAGAGGCAAGGAACCAACAGTCTGCATAAAAATAAAAAATACGAAAAAGAGGAAGGTAACCCATATATATGGTTCATGGACAACATAAAGGCTTTCCATGAGTAAGTCATCTTATATGACAGTATTTGAAAATGTATTCGACATCAAGACCTTAGACTTGTAAAGTACATACACCGGAAGCAACATGCTTCTGTAAGAAATGATAATTAATGAGTACCACTAATCAGGAGAAGTGGTTGAGGAAACTAATGAACTTAAATGGGACAAATTCAGGAAAGGCGCAGGAATTAGAGAAATATCTGGACAAACACTGCTTTCAACAGGTGCAAGTGAAAGAAAGTGGCAATTTATTGGGTGTATTCTAGAAAAAACGGACAAAGAATCACAGAATAGGCACTGAAGCGAAAACAAATTTTCTTTTTTTAAATTGCGATGTTTTGTTTTGTTTAACTGCATTCTCTTTGTGCCTAAAGCTTGACTTTGTACTTCTTTTCATACTATGTGATTGTCAGCAGGTGTACCAGGACAGCCTTATTCATCCAGTCACATGGTGAACTCTGCCCCTCCTCCATACGTCAACTACGGACAACCAGCTGTAAGTAATGCACATTAACATCATCTGTCAAAGTCATTATCTTCCTATCTGTCTCCCGGTTCACCCTCTTTGTACCTGCATCCTTCATCTTTTCGGCGACCTCTGATCATGCGCTTCAGTACATTTTTGGCTATAAACTGTAATGTCAGCTCGAGGTTGCTTATGCTTCGGTTTGCCCCAAAGCTTAGTTGTTAGGTCTACTGGGTGTGGACCCACATGTTGCTTCACAGCTCCTCCAGGAGAGGAGTCTTGCAAGGCCTATTCTGGGGTCTGTCCAGCACAGCACATTGGCAGAGAGCCTATTTGGCTCATACCTAATTTGAATGAGTAATTGTTGAGTCTGCAGTGTCCAATGGACAAGTGCAAACACAGCCCTCAGCTTAACTCCGCATAACAACATTTTTTTTTTTTACAACATTCCAAACGCTTGAGATTTATTGCTACAGATGTCACCCACCACCATTTGTCTCTGTGATAGCCCTCTCTTTCCAAGTGTTTGCAAGTCTGCCTCAATATCATCCCTTCACCATTTTCTTGGGCAGTCGTGGCGGTGTAATGTCTAGATGCTCGCCTGTGGATCGGAAGGTCATGGATTCGGATCTTGACGGAACCAGTGGGTACCAGGTGCGATCCTGGGAAGTAAAAGCGGTCGGCATGATGTTAACCACATCACCCACCAAGTGCCGATTGGTCTATAAAATATAGTTCTAGCCCCATATGCCCAGTACACCTGAAGGTGAGGAAAAGGATCCTGTGCTTTACTTACTTTTGATCTTCTGCCTCGTGGCTGTTGCCATTCAGCTCCCCTGTGACAGAACATGGGATTGCTAAAGTTATTAATTGTCACTTTGTACTATTCATTGATGAAGCATTGTAGAATTGAAGTATTAAAATAACATCAACTTATATTACATATTTTGTTATATGTTTGCTTGTGTGGCAGTTTAACCCTGGCTACCCAGTTCAGCAAGGGTTTGCCTACAGTGTACCACCAGTAGCAGCAGCTCAGTTTGATGCCGGTGCAAGATTTGATGGTATCGCATCACAGAACATTCCGGTAATGTATTGTGTACAACCTGTGGTCATTGTGGGGGGAAGGGGGGATAAAAGACCCACTGCTCTCTATGCTTAGTTGCGTATCCTTTATAGGACATTGCAGAACCAACACCAACAGCTTCTGGCTGTTGTGTGGTTTTTCTAGGCAAATTTACGTCTAGTAGTTTGCCATTGCTTGCTGGACGGTCGGCTTTCTTGATACCACTGTCAAAACTAACGCAAGGCGCGTGGCCCGCAGTGGGATCGAACCCGGCATTAGGAAGCGTTCCCATCGACTTAGCCACAGAGCCGACACTGCCCTCTATGAAGCATGTTGTAATAGACGACTAATCAAGGATGTTTCATTCAAAGTTGAAGTGCATCTGCCTAAGAGGCGAGGAACCAACAGTCTGCATACAAATAGGTCAGATCTGTAAAATGTACTTGCATGCAAAATAAGATCCAAAATTTTCTGCCAGAGCTTACAGCTGGTGAACGTGAAAAATATGAATTAGTTCAGTGTCCAAGTAAGATTGGGATTTTAACTTGGACTTTGTTTTCTGCAGATCATACAAAGGGGCTCTAAAGTGTCTTTTTTTGTGTCCACTCTTAAAGGGGTGGTTGTCATGTTGTGTTTTACCACTAGGCTGTGATCTCTATGGTTTTTTTGCCCAAGGCATCCAGTTTCTGCAAATTTTTAGTCTTTTTATTGCATGTTTGATCAGAAGTAGGTCTGTATAATCCCCTCCCCCCCCCCCCCCCCCCCACCCAATGTGGCTCTGAAACACACACAGGGATCTTGAGAGCTTGATATTTAGAGGTATTTTATCAGATTATGGATTGTTTGTCTTTGTGAGTCATATTTGGTGTTAGTTTGAGGGCTGATCATTAATTTTGTTATCAAATATTTTTTTTAAAGATTGTTTCTCTTTTTCTAAAAGTTTTCATTCTGTATTGTATCATGCTGTCATTTTGTTCCTTATATGTATGGCTCCATTTTAAAAGTTTATAAGTCTTGTTTTGTTTGTTGATAAAGATTGGTCAAATGTTTGATTGTATGTGTCTTTTCTTCTGTCATGTTTTAAACTTTATAATCATAATTTGTGTTGTTTAATTGCTTTCTCTAAGACCTACACAATAAAATAAATAGAAAGTGGACATAAAATGACATGGAGATGATAATTAGAGACATATGAATTATAATCAGGTCTTGTTAACAAGAACCCTACCAGACCTGAGGTGCTGAATCTAACTGCCCCTATACCTGAGCTCCTGGGCATTATTGCGAAAAAACTAACATGACATACACAAATATTGGTTACATGCAGACAAGTGGTTAAAATAAGATAAAACTTGGAGACATTGTAGAAAATAGGTTTACCTTTCATCTAGTGCCTTTTTATTGCAATATTGGCACTAGATGAAAGGTAAACCTATTTTGAAGTATGTGATACTGAATTACTAGTTTAAACTAAACATTTTTATCCATTTTCTGACCACAGCCACCACCCCCAGGTTATGCCCCGAATGCAGCACAGATGGCAGCCGCTCATGGTGGGACAGTGATTGCCACCCAGAAGAAATCTAACTGGTTTTCTGGCAATGGAGGCGGAGTTTCATTTTGGTAAAAGAACACAAGACTGTTGAGGTCTACCTCCAGAGTTTTGGAACAAGAGCCGCAGCTAATTGTTGTGTCACTTCTCATAAATAAATCTCAGATAATTGTAGAGAATCGTTATCATCACCGTTACATTTCTTCTCTTATCTCTTTAAGGGTCTAAACAAAAAAATTTCAACATTTTAATAAAGTTGTGTGAAACTAAGTAAGGACTTGCATAATCCAGAGAATTTTACTGCTTGTAAATGACATACAAAACTATAAATAGAAAAAATATTCATTGTCACCATGCAGGCTTCTTCAGGAGCATAGGGTAAACCCTTACAGTTAATTTCTCTATAGAAAATAAACCAGTTTTAATTGTATGATGAAAGTTGCTGCATGATACTTTGTATCTTATTTTTAAGTATTAAAGACCATCATCGTGTAGCAGGTCCTTAGCAGAACATCGCTCTCATCACATTCTGCCTGAAAGAAACTTGGTCTCTCACCAGCTCTCCTGCCTCATGTACTTTCATACTCAAGGAGTCACTTATATCCTGTGCCCATCTTCGTGTCGGTCGGTCCCTGTCCCTCCTGGTTCCATGCCTTATACTATAATTTTTTTTCCAATCCGCGTGGCGCTTGATATGTCCAAAATATTTCAGCTTCCGAGACAGGATGCTGTTTATTAGCCAAACTTCATTGATGTTCAGATCTTTCAAGATGTCAGTATTTCTCCTTTCCTTTGTCCAAGATATTCTGAGAATCGTTCTATAGCATTTCAACTCAAAAGCCCATATTTTCTTTAAGGACTGGGAGATAGTCCACGACTCACATCCGTATGTAGCCACAGGGAAGATGCATGCTCTCAAAATTCTTATTTTGATCTCCTTGCTTAACCAAAGACCTTTAAGGCTGTTTAATCTTTGCATTGCTATGGCCATCCTCCTTATAATTTCTGTCAGTCTCCATTGCTATTTATTATAAAGCCTAGATATTCAAAGTTTGTGACATTTTCAATTTCTTCACCATTTATTATTTTTGGGTGGCAGCCAGTTTTATATTTATTAAAGACCAGTGTCAGAAAATTAAAATACAATAAACAAAAATCAAGGTTCTAAGGGTGAATCACAAGAAAAAAAAAATTAGTATGTCTTCACAATGAGAAAATAAAAATGAGAGAGTGTCGGAGGGTGACCAAGAGGGATGTTGAACAGTTTGGCATGGAAAAAACAAACATTTGTTCCAGAAATGATTGTCAGTGTGTGTGTGACAGAAGTCTGGACAGAGACACACGCACGGGTCTAGCAAGTAGTCTGTGGATCATTGTCAGTTTGAGTCATATTCATGATCTTTCTTTGCAAGGACTCTGGCCTCTGGCGATGCCCATTTTTAGAATGTTGGCCCCTTAGTAAACTTAGCTGAATTACCCTGGACTATATAGGAAGCAGAAAGACTTGACACAGCAGAGAACTAGAGATGGGGGGATACACAAAGATTGATCAAGTGTACTGAACGTTGTTCTGTCTCTTTTTGTTTTATATAAGTACCGGTGAACAGCTGGATATTTATTAACTCTTAAACCCTGGAAATGTTGTTTTTTAAAGAGGGTGGGGGCAGGAATCTGTGTTTCCCAAAAATCCTTACAAAATAAATTTACACAGGTTGCTAACGAATTTCTGAAAAACATGCATCTACATCTTTAAAATAAAAATTGCGATGTGGTAAATAAACACGAGAGTGAAGCATTAAATGGAATACATTTCCTTGGGACAAAAAAAAAATGTATCAGGTGATTCAGTACCAAGACTCCTTGACCTTGCTGGAAAAGCCTAATGTAAACTATGATGTCAGAATGGCGTTACAAAGCCTCGGATTCACTGGGCAGGCACAAACACAAGCCAACTCCATTAACTATGCTTCTCGGGACAGGCCATAGCAGAAATGCCATGTCAGCGGCACTTATGGGATGAGTGGCAGACAAAAATGCTGAGTTTGTGGGGACAGTGTTTTAACTCTTTGAGTCCCAAGGAACACATACGTTCATAGGTTCCTACCTAGAAGCCCAATGAACGCATGTTGCGCCGATTTTATTACTTTCTTTACTACCCCCTGGGCCTGTGATGCTAAACTCTCTGGGACAAAGAGTTAAACTCTCTGTGGTAGCCTCATAGCTCTATAATTTCTTACCACTTTCTACATTGCTAAAATACAGTGAATATGGAGCTATCAGGCCTCATCACAAAGACCAGTTGAGATACAAGTCATACTTATAGGTGCTGCATTAATTGAAGATGGCCGGTCCATGAATCACACAGACATTGTCATTTCCCTTAGAAAGATAAGACCTTCTGAGGATTTTGGAAGCAATGTGTCCACATCACTACTAAGAATACGCGAATTGGGAGTAAAGATCGGCACAGCCAAGCATGAGAAGCACACCGGACGCACACAAAGTCTTGTTAACCAACATAGGACTGGTACTATTAACCACACGACACTAATGAATATGTTGAGAGGGGAATCTGAGCACCTATGGATGTGTCTGGAGTGCTGTGAGGATAATCTAACTCATATAGTCTGTTAGCCAGTCCTCTATTTTCAAATCCTAAAGGTCAGTGTTTTTCTCTCTTCTTGAGGCACAGTACCCAAAGATTCAGTCTGGGGAAAAATAGAAAACACTGAACATAACCGATGAAAAGATGCAGGTAAAACATTCTGTGCCTTGTAGACCCTGTAATCTTTCGACTATATGCACACATTTTCAATCATCTATACAAAACATTGTTTACCTGTGATTTTTTCCCCCCAATGTTATACTTTATGTATATATTTTTTGTTGGAATCAGGTTTATATATACATACATATATTTAGTGTATACCCTCTTAATTTTACTGCATTATGGTTTAAAAACAGTATTGAATGTGGCTTTTGTCTGTTCTTGCATTTTAGCTTTAGTGTTAGGATACTGAAGTTATTCCATTAAATTAATGTTTTTAATGATGGTGGTAATGTTGCATTTGTGCAGGTATGATTGTGTAGGATGAGTTACAGCCAGAGTGGTGAGTTAGTGATGTGAATTAAAGCCAGAGTGGTGAGTTAGTGATGTGAATTAAAGCCAGAGTGATGAGTTAGTGATGGGAATTAAAGCCAGAGTGGCGAGTTAGTGATGTGAATTAAAGCCAGAGTGGTGAGTTAGTGATGTGAATTAAAGCCAGAGTGATGAGTTAGTGATGTGAATTAAAGCCAGAGTGGTGAGTTAGTGATGTGAATTAAAGCCAGAGTGATGAGTTAGTGATGTGAATTAAAGCCACTGTGGCGAGTTAGTGATGTGAATTAAAGCCAGAGTAGTGAGTTAGTGATGTGAATTAAAGCCCCCATGGTGAGTTAGTGATGTGAATTAAAGCCACCATGGTGAGTTAGTGATGTGAGTTACAGCCAGAGTGGTGAGTTAGTGATGTGAGTTACAGCCAGAGTGGCGAGTTAGTGATGTGAATTAAAGCCAGAGTGGCGAGGTGATGTGAATTACAGCCAGAGTGGTGAGTTAGTGATGTGAATTAAAGCCAGAGTGGCGAGTTAGTGATGTGAATTAAAGCCAGAGTGGTGAGTTAGTGATGTGAATTAAAGCCAGAGTAGTGAGTTAGTGATGTGAATTAAAGCCCCCATGGTGAGTTAGTGATGTGAATTAAAGCCAGAGTAGTGAGTTAGTGATGTGAATTAAAGCCCCCATGGTGAGTTAGTGATGTGAATTAAAGCCACCATGGTGAGTTAGTGATGTGAGTTACAGCCAGAGTGGTGAGTTAGTGATGTGAGTTACAGCCAGAGTGGTGAGTTAGTGATGTGAGTTACAGCCAGAGTGGCGAGTTAGTGATGTGAATTAAAGCCACTGTAGTGAGTTAGTGATGTGAATTAAAGCCAAGTGATGAGTTAGTGATGTGAATTAAAGCCACTGTGGTGAGTTAGTGTGTGAGTTAAGCCAGAGTGGTTAGTTAGTGATGTGAATTAAAGCCACTGTGGTGAGTTAGTGATGTGAGTTACAGCCAGAGTGGAGAGTTAGTGATATGAATTAAAGCCAGAGTGGTGAGTTAGTTATATAAGTTACAGCCACAGTGGTAAGTGATGTGAGTTACAGCCACAGTGGTGAGTTAGTGATGTGAGTTACAGAGTTTTGAGTTAGTGATGTGAATTAAAGCCAGAGTGGTGAGTTAGTGATATAAGTTACAGCCACAGTGGTAAGTTAGTGATGTGAGTTACAGCCAGAGTGGTGAGTTAGTGATGTGAGTTACAGCCAGAGTGGTGAGTTAGTGATGTGAATGAGTTAGATCAGGACTATTCAAATTAATTTTACTCAGGAGGGTGAAATGTTGGAAATAATCCTGGGCTAGCGGCCTAAGTACCACTGTAGAGCGATCATTAATTGAATACAATTGGCAAGCAGTTAGCCTCGTGCTAGGCCTCTGGGGGTGAATTTAGTCCACAGGCTCGTCCTGAGTTAAGAGAATAGTTCCCCATGTGGATTACAGGGCCCCATTGTGTGGGAAAACAGGAACAGACCCACTGCCTCCCCAAAAAAGCAGGTCATAAGAGTCGACTAACTGGGAGCTCCCTTTAAAGATGGAGTGCATCTGCCTGAGAAGCCAGGAACCAACAGTCTGCATACAAAGTGAGCCAGATCTGTAAAACGGATGTGCACACAACACTGAGGTTCTGGAAGAGGGCTGGAGTTTAGAAGTGAATGAACAAATAGAACTTTCCGCCAGAGTTTACAGCTGGTCAACTGAAAGAAAAAGTCGAAGAAAATGGTAAGTTTGTGATGCAAGTTAAAGACAAGTGATGAGATGCATGAGTGTTTGTGATTGGAGTTACAACCACAGTGAGGATCAAGTGATGCAAATTACAGGGAGCGGTGAGTTTGTAGAGTGAATCACAATCACCCACCAGGAACATCAAACTGATACACTGACCAGTGTCTAGGCCATGAGCACTGAAAAGGTTAAAAAAAAAAAAAAAAAATCACCATTAAATGT